TATGTGCATCTGCTGAACTCTCCTCGTTGGCTCTGGAAGGGTTAATGCCAAGGACTTGGCAGCAAGAGTTTCTTGTTTTTTGTTTTTCTTTTCCTACTATTCTTGGATATAAAAAGCAAGAGGTGTTTTTTGGAAGTCAGTTTCTTCCAGAGGTTGGCTGTCTGAGACCTTTTAAATGACTTAGAAGCAAACTTTGGCCCAAGGGCAACACGATGAAATAACTTGGATACAGATCTTCCCAATAGGAAGCAGCTAAGCATCTGTCACGAGGAATGAAGTGAAATCTTCTGTTAATGTTTACACATGAAGGCTGCTGGCTGGTTTGCCATTAACTGGTGGCTTTGCTGAATGTTTACTGCTGCCTATGGAGCTTGTGCTGCCACTTGCTCCTACAGATCAGAGGTCCCTGCTCCTGGCCTCTGCCTTGGTGTGGGGGGATTTGGGTGAGAGCAGAGCTGATAGCAGCATTGATCTTTGGGGATCAGAGGAGTTATTAACAGAAATTGCTTGAAAATTCCTCTTTTAAAATCTGAATTCCGTTCTGTGCTGGCTCTGCTTGCCTTGTTTCACTTGGCACAGTTGTAACTTTTCCCTCCTTTTTTTGCCTTTTTTTTTTTTTTCATTGGGTTTGGAAGTATTTTTTCCAAATTCAGAGTTCTTCCTGTCACAGTCTCAGTGTTGTTGGTGTAGCTCCTGGATTCCAGTTACACATTTTGTCTGAGTCCTTCAGGAATGCAGGATGTCCCTCTCTGCCCTTGCACTGCTCCTGTGCTATATTTAATAAACAGTTTTTCAGTGTCATTGAGAATTAGTTTCTGATGATGCAGGGTGGGTTTGAATGCAGTCTGCCTTTGAAATATCATCAGCCATGCTTTGTTTCCTGACCTGCTCTTTTCAATGCATTGAAATGATTCAAAATTAAACAAATCCATTCTCTTTACCCTCTATAGAATAAATGTTAATTGTAGGCAGAAATGCCAGCACTGCTCTAAATGTTGGTATATGAGTCAGAAACGAGTGGGGCAGACTGTAACCTTCAGGTGTTTGAGTCTGCATAAGCTGATTATTAAATTGTTCAGGTTTTTTTTTTTTCCTTTAAACTAGGTTCCTTGGCAGGTCTGATTGACATCTCTGCCCACTGGATGACAGATCTGAAGGAAGGAGTGTGTTTGGCAGGGTTCTGGTTCAACCATGAGCACTGCTGCTGGAAATCCAACACCACCTTCACCGACAGAGACAAGTGTCCTGAGTGGAAGAGCTGGTCCCAGCTGATTCTTGGCCAGGGAGAGGTGATGTCTGCCTACAACTGGTTTTGCTGCTGAATTCCCCAGTTACCCAGCCTGTATCATCCTTGGGAGTAATCTTAACAAACGTAGATGCCAGGAGTCCAGGCTCTGGGTGGTTCCGTGGTTTAGTGTTCATCGTTGAGGTCTTAAAGGCGTGTCAGTAAACAAGTGCTTTAAGTGTTGTCCTTGGAGGGGATGCGGGGAAGAAAAACCCTGCCACATTTACAGTGCAGTGTGTTAGTAGTGTGTCTAAGACTTGCTACTTGGAGGGTATTTTGCCAATGAATGTTTGGGGGGTATGCCACAAGCTCCAGTCCCGTGTTTGAGGCAGCTTTGTCCAGTGGAACAGCTGCTTAACTGGGGCAATACTGACCCAGTACCAAGCTATGGTTGGACTTGATGATCTTAGAGGCCTTGTCCAACCTAAATGATTCCATGATTCTACTGCTGTACCTTGTTTGCAGTTTAATGACTTTTGGAGATAGGACTGGTTCATCCCTGTAACCTGCCAAATGTACCTAGTTCTTGCAACCTCAGGCTTAGGGTAGCTCTCTCCATTTTTATCTGGTAACTCTGTGACATGACCTGCTGTTTCTGTGTGCTCACTTCAGTGCACAGGTTTGATGTAGTCTCGGTTGAAATCATTTAATTTGGGCAATTCTCTGTTTCAGGGGGCATTTGCATATATTCTCAACTACTTAATGTATGTCGTCTGGGCCTTGTTGTTCTCCCTTCTTGCTGTGCTACTTGTGAAGGGGTTTGCTCCGTATGCCTGTGGCTCAGGGATCCCAGAGGTGAGTGAGAATGAGAGGGGGTTGTTTTTCAGATGGGGTAGGGATCCACCGTCCAAAATTTACACAGTCCTACTATGGAATTATTTCTTGCACTTTAGATGGTGGCTAAGTATATGGATGTTTATCCAAGCTCTTCCTGAAACATGTCTAGTACTAAAGCCTCCATGCAATCCCTTTAAAAACTAAAATACTTTGGCATTTACTGCAGGAGTTACTGCTCAGGTGTTTTTCTATCAGGGATTGTGGCCCTGAAGGAAGGACTTGAATGGGTGTTTCTGCCTTTGCGTGGAGGGATATTTTTACCAATTCTTAAGTTACTTCTGATAGCTTGGGAGGACTCTGAAAGCTGTAGAGAAGAGTCAAGGGCAGGATTGGGAATGCCCAGTAAATCAGGAGCTCTGATCAGGGCTTGAATGAAAGCCTGTAGAGCTTTGTGTGCTTGACTTCCAGATCAAAACTATCTTAAGTGGTTTCATCATTAGAGGCTATCTGGGCAAGTGGACGCTGGTCATCAAAACCATCACCCTAGTGCTGGCTGTGTCCTCGGGGCTGAGCCTGGGCAAGGAGGGGCCCCTGGTCCACGTCTCCTGCTGCTGTGGGAACATCCTATGCCATCTCTTCACTAAGTACCGGAAGAACGAAGCAAAGCGCAGAGAGGTACGTGGAGACACCAACCTGTGCCAGTCCAGGTGGGTCTCTGGTTCTGGGGCTTCATCGTGAGGGTAAATTGTTCTGTTTCAGCATGTTCTTGCTCGGTTTGCCAATGTGTATCATGTTGGCCAATTTACCTTC